CTCACCTTGGATCCAAGTTAGGTGCCAATCCTGTCGTACAATTTGCATTAGACAATTGTGACTCGTATGTGACGTGCTTCTGCACCAGCCTTCACGTGATCATAGTACTAGAGCGTATTGATTACACCTAGTTCTGTTTGTGTCAGAAATTATCTGTACGAACTCGTGTGTCAGCTTAAAGGGATGAGCACTTAGCTATACTTGATTATCACATGATTATATTACTGCGGCATTTGATTATCATGACTTGGCATATTTCTAGTTACATTGTTGTTGTACTTTTGTTACATACTTACGTAGTATGTTTTACATAAACTATACTTGTTTTACAGCGAGGGGTTACTATGTTTGAAAATAAAGGTTTTCTTACAAATGTTGTTTTCTTGACCCACTCAACTTTACTTTTCGTCCCTCTAGGTTTAGTAGTTGTGCTTTCGTGTAAATGAGGATTTTGGAAAATCTCAGGAGATGGTTATCATTAGTGGTATAACCCTTATCCTATTTACTATATTGTCTCATGCTCTGACATCACGTGTGAAATGAGTTCAATCCCGTTCACCCGCACACTCTTTTGATTATGCACTTTTATGTTTAAATTTATTCACATCATTTTCCACTACACTACACTTTATGGCTTCGTCACCCTCCAGGTGTCGACTAGCACAACTTGATTCGGAGTCTAAGTGGACATTCCGGGTCGGGGTGTGTCACATCCCCACCACATTCACCACAACATAATAGAAATTCTTAACATGCTTCACCTCCTCCTAGCCGTCTTCACAAGAAGCTATTCCTTCGTCTCGGTTTTTTGATCAATCAGCCTCTCCACAAGTTTGGCCTCATTCTCCACCATAAATAAAATAAAATAAAATAAATGAGAACCGCCGAATTCCCAAGAATCTTCCTCACAAAATGCAAGTTGTCTTTGGAAACCTTGGACTTTTTTATGCCAATTTCCAGAGAAGATCCGAGTCCATGGTAGAGGAAGAAAGATATTTTATTTTTTCTTTATTGTTTAATGTAAGATTTTAATTTATTTATTCAAAGGATTTTTCATTTTTTTAAAAGTATAATTAATAATGAGGGCAAATTTGTCCTAAAGGGGTTATGTGAAAGTAAATTAGGACCTTAAAGGGCGTTAGTGTTACGTCTCCATCATGAGGGAGTTTTGTGAAAACATAATGAACATGAGGGGGTGTTAATATAATTAACCCTTTCTTTCAATAAATAATTAGTCCAATGTAAAATCGTTTGTTCAAAAATTAGGTCCAAGTTAAATAAAAAATCCACATAATCAATTTCCGGATTTAGAAAATTTGGATGTATTTTCAAAATTTGAAATATATTGGGGTTACTAATCACATTGACTAAATTTATGTTGAAGTACATATGATTTACATTAAATATTTTTTTAGTACATCGATATTTTTACACTAGGGAGAGAGGGAGTTCGGCTAAACCATACAATTGGCAACCTAATTTGGTATCGAATTCGCTTTCCACGAGATTTGAACCTAAAACCTCTCACCTAAGCGAAGAGGAATACTACTAGACCCTAATACTGAGTGACATATGATCTACATTAATTAGGTATGAGTTTTCTTCAAGAAAGGATGTGACAGACTGATAGCATTTTTTTGACTTTCGGTATAAATTTTCAATTCTAACAACATTTGTCATTTAATACTACGTTCTAGTATTATTCCTCTTCACTAATAAGTGAGAATTTTTAGGTTCGATTCTCGCCCAAGGTGAATTCGACCCACATTATTGCCAGCCCATTGTGAGGCTTAACCCACCTCCTCCCTCTTAGTATAGATAATACCATTTGTTCAAAAAAAAAAAAAAATTAGATTCAAAATTTTGAGTGAATTTTAACATATGTACGTTATGAATTTTTTTGAAAATTCCAAAATCGAAATCAAAATGAATGCTAAAATTCTAAAAGTCTGGCATATATATCTTGAACTCAGAGATCCGTTCTTTTGGGTATCGTTTGGTATGCAGACGGGACGGGACGAAACGGAATGGGACGGGACGGGACAGGACGGAATGGAACGGAGTGAGAGCAAAGATGCCCTCGGATGGAAACAAGGAGGAAGAAGAAGGAGATGGAGAGGTTATAATTTTGTGTTCCACGGATGTGGAACGAGTCGTTCCAGGGGGGTGAGGTGGAACGAAAATTCACTCAAAACTCGTTCCGTGGAACAGCTCGTTCCACGCGTTTTAGGCGCACCAAACGTGGGACGGAATGCCTTATCCCACTCTGTTCCGTCTCGTCCCACGTACCAAACGGTACCTTGGTGACCAAGAATTCATAGTTACCTACTCTTAAATTTAATGTCAAAGATGAGATTAAACATTAAAAACACATCTTTTTAACCTCCACTCTTAATACAAATTTAAAGATGAATGACCAAGAATTTTTAATCACTTCGCGATGAAGACTAACATTTTGTCTTAAACATCACATTGAAAACAAAGTTATAAGTTTTTTGGTAAGCTTTGACTACGTAGCACACGCAAACACGATGTGAGAAATTAATGAGTTGAAGAAATGGACCTAACAGAAAAAAGAAGAAAATCGATGTGACATAATGCTCGTGAAACTCGACGCGACTTTCATCCAATAAGTGAATCGGTACACCTACATTGTGGATGCTGATCCATTTTTTGCACTGGCAAACAAACGACCAAGTGAAAACAGCATTTGGGATAACGCCAAGTTGTAGTTATATTACTAGTGTCAAATGATGCCATACCTATCTTCAACGTAACTATCTGAAGTCCCTCAACAAATCTTAACAGGAAAACTGAGGATCTGCGTCATGGAAAGTTGTCTCGTGCGTTGTATAGGCAATTTACTTGTAGTACATGAAGAAAATGCTGAAGATAAAAAAAACCAGCCATCTGCAGAATTGTCGACAAATAAGATCACAGGAGAGGGAGAGAGCAAAGAGACTTGTGTGGTAAACGAAGCTCCGTAACAGGGAAAGACACAAATGGCACATCCTTAGAATTTTGGACAACTTCTGAAATCTTAAGATGTTTCCCTATATTAGCAGTTGAGCACCGTAACAACCTCCCACGACAAGCAATGGACAGTATCTGTCTCTAGAGTTATTATCACATCAGGGCTAATCACGGAGAACTGCACTCGGACACCATTTGCGACATACGTATGGTTCCTAGCTCTTTTGAGATCACTCATATCTCAATATAATACTCCTGCAAATATAAATAACTAAACGGTTTCAGATAATTCCTGCTACTTATAATTAAATCATAACTTCAGCAAATGTACATGTATATATATACACACACACATAGACAGAGTGTAAAGACATTACCAGGTCATCGTTAATCCTATAGATTGCAGGTTCATTAGTTTCTCCAAGTTTATTGTGTCTAACATGAAGGAGAGTTAATAATTGGACCCAAGGAAATATACATCATATATGTGTCAATGTGTCTATATACATACCTAGATAAGTGATATATATATATATATATATATATATATATATATAATTCATATGTAATGAACGTGTCTTAACCGTGTATTGACCGTATCTTAATCCTATCTTAACCGTGTCCAAACCGTATCTGAAGCGTGTTTGAAGCGTGCTAGGATTTCGCAATGTCCACGCAACGTAGCCTGAAACATACCGTTAACTACATAAAGCAATAACCCATCATCTCAAAGCCATTAAACCCCGTGGAGAGGTCATTTCCTAGCTTCCAAGAAAAATTAGGGTTAAGCGCATTAAGGAAAAAAGTTTGAAACTTGAATGTAGATTGGTGCTTACCAAGCTAATGGATGCGCAAACCCCTTGAAAATCATCACTGGGAATCAAAGTCTGGTCTCCAGCACCGCGTAATTGGTGTGACCAATACACCATTTTAAAACCAATTCATAGTCTGGGCTATCGTTCATCTCTCTATTGGGCCTTCGTACTTTATGGAAATTTTTGTTAATGAAGTGATATTACGCTATTAATTCAAAGTTATACTTTAAGAATAATAGGTGGACAAAACAAGCTGAAAGCTCAAGAAACCAACCAAATCAAATCGTTTGGATTGGTCTTTTTTTTTCTTTTTGTCCATTCTTTATAAAACCGTTTTGAAATACACGGTTTATTATATACTGTTTTTGTTTTTACAAACCGTGGATTAACGGACCAAATTGCTTATAATGAAATATATAAAATAATAAATAATATATGTAACATATTGAAGTTATGAGATTATAAGTTTAAGACTTTTAGTCCATGTATGAGATTAAGTATTTTGAAGTTATGAGACTGTCAAATTAAGTTTTGAGGTTGACAGTTTGGTGATTATTTTTTTTTTTATAAATAAAAGGATTTACAAAATATTCTAGTATTTATTTCTACATAGCTCTGAATTTTTTTTTTTTTTTTCCAAATGAATTTGTTATTTAATAGTAGATACATGTTAAACCAAAAATCAAACTGCAACATTGGTGAATCGATTAATTACATCAGTTTTAAGTCTTTATGGTTCGGTTATGATTTTGATTTTAAACAAACCGAAGTGTGTACACCCTTTTTTTTTTTTTTTTTTTTTTTTTTTTCAAAAAGAAGATATTATTTGTAGTAAGGAGGTAGGGGAGTGGACTTAACCTCACACTGGACTAACCATAATAATGTGATTCAAATTCGTCATTGACGAATCATACTTAAGACCTTTCACTTACAGATGAAGAATATCACTAGACTGTAGTACTAAATAGTAAATACACCCCTTTCTTTATGTTTGGACCAAAAAATAGCTTTTTAAATTTTACGGAAAATAATAAGTAAAGAGGAAAACAATTATCTTTGATAAAAAGATAAACAAATAATCATGTATTAATCAAATCACGAGAGGTGGCTCAGTGGGTCAAAGTTGAGTTTCAACAAAAAAAGGGTTGAGTTTCAAACATTTTCGTTTCTCCATGTTGTGAAGAAAAAGAGAGGGCGTGGAAATAAAGCGAGACGCGAATAATACTCTGTCATCTGTAGCAGCGTAGACCCCAGAGAGACCAATCATCCAAACCTCCCCACAAAACCCCTAAACGACATCGTCCCATCCCAAATCTGCCCCCCGCCCCCCTTCTCTCTCTCTCCGTACTTTCCCACTCATCCACAAAGTCGTCTTCTCTGCAGCTTCTTCTTACCAGGTCAGCATCTATGCATCCCAATAATACACTTTCTGTGTGTTTGTATATATAGGTGTATGTATATGTCGGCAAGTTTCTTTCTTTCGCTTTGCTAGATTTTCCAGGAAATCCGATCATCAGGTGCTTAAAGTTTAGAAATTTCTTGGGTTTTGAATCTGATTGGTTGATGATTGTGTCTGTTAATTTTTGGGTTTTATTGGGTTTTAAGTTGTTGGTTGTTCCTTTTGTGCAAGATTTGATTTTTTTTGTTTGTTTCCGATTTAGCAATTTATGATGCTTGTTTATTTGATCTTTGTAGAGAAGTGGTGTTAATTTGAAAGGGGTACTTTAAAAAGGAGTAATTTGCAAGTGTTTTATTACTTTGAGATTATTGTTTTAGCGATCAACGTGTGATTGTAAATTTGTAATTTGTTTGAAAATATCAGATTTAGTTTAATGATTTTGAGTATTAAGCTGCCAATGAACCGACAGTTGTATAGCATTTTAACCCGAAAGGTTCCAGAAAGATGAAAAGATTAAAACGAAAACAGAAGAAACGAAGAATAATTGAAGGACTGGTCGCCCGTGAATAGAATGGTTTCTTGATTATGCTTTTATTGGTTGGTGTGTACTAAATTTGATGTTTATTTGGTTATTTCCAGCTTTCTACATGAAATTTCAGTGTATCAATCTGCTTGGCATGCCTCTCGCATCTTGATTGATTCATCCTGTGCTTGTAGACCAGCACAATTGTTGTATGTAGCACAAATGTATAATCGCTTTAGGATTTTTAGGATCATTGTGTTCTTTTTCACTTTGTCAGGAGATATGATTAGGCTATTCAAAGTAAAGGAGAAGCAAAGAGAACTTGCTGAAAATGCGAATGGAGCGTCACCTGTGAAGAAGCAATCTGCTGGGGAATTGCGTCTTCATAGAGGTATTCCTTCTGTCCAATTGCAAATGGAGTATCACCAGTTATTTGTGATTGAAACTTCTACATATTCTTCTAGTTTTTAAATGCCTTTGATGTTCTAATTCCACAAATTAATTGAAATATGAGAGATGAATGATTTTTTAATGTCAAGCATTTTGTTGATTGTCAAGCAGCATGGATCAAATCTGTTAGATGGTTTGAATTTTTCTTGGTTGATGTCTTAGCTGGCATTATATTCTCTAGCCCATAGTGCTTATGAATGGTGAAATAGGACATCGTTCTTGGTCCATAGTGACGCTGTATAACTTATTTATAGAGTTTTCTGGCTGGAGGTGCTTTAAGTCAATTCAAAAATCAATTTTAAAACATAACTTCTTTAGCAAATTATTTACCCTGGAATGTTTAGGGTTTCATCTTTTTTCAAGTCAGGTAGACATTTGAAGTTGAGATAATTTCATGCTGAGTACAAAGTTTCAGCAAATGAATGTCAATTGAATTTTCTAGCATTCTTGATTACAATCATTATTTAAATCTGTTTTAATTTTGTTAAAGGATAAAGGGATTTAAACTGGTTCATTGCTAAATTGTGTTTTGGAGTTGTGTTGTTTTTCGAAATGTGGCCACCATTTATTTAAAAAAAAAAACATTTTTGTGGTATCTGATGCAGATATATCTGAGCTGAATCTCGCAAAAACTTGTAGCATTTCATTTCCTAATGGCAAGGATGACCTGATGAACTTTGAGGTTACAATTCGTCCAGATGAAGGATATTACTCGTAAGAAGTTCTTCAACTTTATGTGTGTAAAAGATTGTTCGCATAAAAGCTTTTGCCACAGCTGCACATACTAATTTTAGACACCTCTCCTTTGTCAGAGAAGCTGAGTTCTTTCGTTTTCCATTCACACAAACACATGTAGATACTTGCTCGTTCCAAATTTGTCTATAAATTTAGATGTAGTTGGGGGATTTTCAATTGTAAGACACTGCATTGACTATGAAGTCAACACCGAAAACATTCAATATTGTTGTTGCTCAGGTGAACAATCATATATTGTTTCAACATTGTGAATGTCCTGCAGCCATTGTTTGCATTGACTATGCAGTGAAGTCAACACGAATACAAGCATTGGTGTTGAAGGTTTCAATATTTTTGTTACTTCTAAAAGAAAATTATATATTGTTTTTGTTCTGGAAAACAAGTATATATGTTGTCTTAAGATGTCCTATAAAATTAGCATAACGATCAATTAACTACATTCTTTTCCATTTGTTATTACAGAGGAGGTACGTTTTCGTTTACTTTCCAAGTGGCGCCTATCTATCCACATGAGGCACCAAAAGTCAAGTGTAAGACCAAGGTAGACCTGCACATCATATATATTTCACCGATTCTTGTTTAACTGTATTTGTTTCTTCTCTTCTATTTGATTGCTTATATACTACATTGTCTCGTACATGGTACAAACCCTCCCAGGTCTACCATCCTAATATTGACTTGGAAGGTAATGTCTGCCTCAACATCCTACGAGAAGATTGGAAACCTGTCCTCAACATAAACACTGTCATTTATGGATTGTATCATCTTTTCACGGTACTAATGATTGTTTCGATGGTCCTTTGCAATTCGTTGCCATCTGCTATACGAATGCTTATTTTTCTCTTTGGTTTTGTTTCCAGGAACCAAACTATGAAGATCCACTAAATCATGATGCAGCAGCGGTGTTGAGAGACAACCCGAAGATGTTTGAGTCTAATGTAAAACGTGCTATGGCTGGTGGTTATGTGGGGCAAACGATTTTCCCCCGGTGCATGTAGCTTTTGTTTGGTACCACCAAAGTGCCAATTGAGGTATTTACCAATGCTCGATATGCAAGTGGGGTTGTAATATTTGTTTGCAGATTGCATTTTCTTTGTTCATCCTTTAAAATGAAAGAAAATTTATCGACGGAGCTGGGGGCAGTAAAATGTATGTCACTGTAACTGTTGGTATGCTTTGTATGTTGACATGAATGTTAATCTTCTTTTGTAATAAGGATTCATCTCTCTCTGTCTCTCTCTCTGTCTCTCTCTCTCTCTCTCTACAAATATACCAATCTCGACGATAAGATGGATCATCGTCAAAGAATCGCAATATTTTTCTTTTCATTTTTTATCCAAAATTATCCTTGAGATTGACATAACTTTTCATGTTGTTCTCTGAGATTTAAAATCGATAGAAGTGGTTCTTAGATGAGTCATCATCAATTATTTTGATCATTGTGTGAGAAATCTTATTAAAGTAAGGGTATTTCTGTCAAATCAACTATTTCTCTTGAACCGGTGAAATTCAATTTAATAAAGATTTTTCATAGAAGGACAAAAATGATTGATGGTGGAGAATCTCAAAGATTACTCTGTCGATTTTAAATCTCAAAGATTAAAATGAGGAGTTATGCAATCTGAAGACCATTTTAACTAAAAAAAAAACTTTTTCTTTTTTCATACCACAATTACAACATTAGTTTTGTTAACGAAAATCTTTTAGTTGAACTGTAAAGTAACTGGTTTGATACGGTCTCAAGCAGTTTTGGCCTTTAACCCATTTTATTTTATTTTCGTTGCTTTTTTTTTTTTTATTGTTGGAAACTAGGAATATCATTCCAGGGCTAAGAAGTCAAACAGGTACACAAAAGCCTACCTAGAGGCAAACACCATGAAAGACAGACCAAGACGAAAGTAGTGAAAGGGGATACATCCAGAAGACACTTCAACTAAGTGAAAGTGTCACCCTAATCACCACCACAGGAAAATTAATGTCAACACGGAAGACCATCATTGTTCAAAACATGAACCAACGAAGATAGGGGCCTATCGACCCAAACAAAATCACTCATCTCCGTAAAACCAACCAACGCAAGAACATCCGCCGCTATATTGGTTGATCTTGGCATCCAAGACCAGCAACATTTCTGGAAAGCCCCACTTAGCTGTTTGACCCTTGCCAAGATAGGGGAAGCCTCCCAACTACCTATTTTCAAGAGAATCACTAAAACAAGAGACAGTTTCGAGAGAGTCCAATTCGAGAATGACAAAGCTAACACCCAAAGAGGCATCCAATTCACACCTACGCAGCAGCGTCAAAGCTTCAGCTGCCTCAAGCATTAGGAGCCTTAATAGAGTATCTCGCTGCTGTCAAAAACCTACCCCCTTTGCCCGCATCACCACCCCAACGAAACCCAACTTAGTCACCTTGGACTAGCTAGCATTAACATTAATTTTTGAATATGGAGAGTTAGGAGAACTCCACCGTGATACCTGGCCCTCCTGAGCATTCACCATTGTCCACGAGTCCCCAAGTCCCTCACCGCATGCAAGAATGATCCCGTCGCATTGGATAAAGCCAAAAGCACCTTGGTGGGATTAATTGGTACCTGATTGAACATATATTGCTTGAAACTTAATCCTAAAACCAATTTGATTTTTTTAGATTAACCATATTAAGTTTGGGTGCGGTTTGGGTTGGTTCGACTTTGGGTTTGAACAGCGTATCGACCGCACACTGGAGCCTGTCTTAATCTACAACCGATCTACACCGAATCACAATGGATGAAAACCGATGTACTTGGTTCAGCAATATTGCAATTTGATTTGGTTCCTAAAATATATAATATATTATATTTGTTTTTTAATCAGATAATATTGTACATAATACGTGTTACTTTATATAATTTTGTTCTAAATTATAATTTGTTTGGTTCGATTGACCCATCCTTTGTAAAATCAAAACTGCATGCTAAATGGTTCGGTTTGGTTGGACTTTTGGGTTTTCAGTTTGTTTGCCAGCCCTAAACCATACATAAAAATTCATAAATTGTTATTGTATACTCAATAATACCATTTAATTTTTGACGCTGGTGTATTACATGATAGTTGATAAAATAAGTTGACATCTTTCCAGTATCCGAAAAAATTGACGAAAAATTGGTTCGAAGCCAATAGTTGGTCCCCTTCAAAAAAAGAAAAAAAAAAAATACTATTACACCATAATCCTAACTGAAATAGAACTCGTTTGAATGTGTTTCTAAAATGACTGAAATCGTTTTAGAGAAAATGTTTTTAGAACCAATATTTAGTAAAGATGCAAGTAAATCCTAAAAAGACACTTAAAGTGCTTTTGGAACCCAAATGTTTTTCTCCAAAAACGTTTTCAGTTATTTTAAAAGTACATTTAAACAAGTTCATAAACTTCTTAAAGTTTAAAACACAAAAATTGTTGAAAATACTGGTAGGTTAATGAATGCCTATAGTGATATTGAAAATATTGGTAGATTTTTCAATGCTCACACAAAGTGATATTGACTTGGGAAATGAAGGAGGATCGTATTGTTAAAAGATGTGTGTTGTAAATTTCAATGTATAGTTAATACATTTGTTTGGAGTTGCTCTATAAATAGAGCTTTCTGTATGCTTTCAAGATACACAGAGAACAAGGAAAGATCAGTAACATCATTATATATCCCTCCATCTTTTATTTGTCGTCCCTTTGTGTTATAGTTATAGTATAATATTTTACACATGCTTCGCTCTGTCATCAGTAAATGTTATCTCTCTAACTTTTACCTATTTATAACACGTTATCAGCATGACTCTCTAACCATGTTTCATTTCTCTTCGTCGAAAGAGAGAAAGAAAAATGTTTCCTCTAAGGATTTTACTGTTCTTCTTCTTTCTTTGCCTCAACTGCTGGGCATACCCTCGCGAAAAATTGTTTGCACCATGCCTGCTTCTAGTTCCCAACCTAACAGTTACATATATCCTTGATTTCTTGTTTAGTGTAGCTCTTGATTACTAACCCAGTGTTTATTTATGTTGATTTTACTGTAATCCAAGATGGTGCGGTACAATCGCCCATCTTGAACTGCAAATTTAATCTTATTGTAATCCAAGATGGTGCGGTATCATCGCCTATCTTGGACTGCAGATCTAATTTTACTGCAAATTTTAGGTGAAGCGGTATAATCGCCCACTCTACCCTGCATATTTAATTTACCTGCTGTTTAATTTCATTGCAATTTTAAGTGGTGCAGTATAATCGTCCATCCTATGTTATGTTATTTCAATGAGAATGGTGCGGTACAATCACTCTCCTCATTCATCATGTAAATATCGAGCTAGAAGTTTCGAGTGTTTATCATTTTGGCCTGAAGATCAAAATGAAAAAAAATTTGTAAGAACCTAAAGTTCTAACACTACATACCTCTAGAATGCATATTATTACAAGTTCTTACACATCTCTGTTTTTCTTTCAGAAAAGAAAATGACAAACTTGACAAAACTTAATTTTGTTGCCCTAGACATTACTGGGAAAAACTACCTTACCTGCGATGTTCAGAATTAACTTCCAGATGAAACTCTGTGGGAAAACCATCATTAAGGAAGCTATGCTGAAAAGACCTTCAGCACCTTTCATGCCTCAATCGCGCTCCTACAGCAACAGTATAGAGAGCGAAGTTTCACTGAATACAACCAGATGATATCTGTGCTCTTAGTAGCTGAACAAAACAATGAGCTCCTGATGAAAAATCATTAATCTTGATCTACTAGATCTGCACCATTTCCAGAAATGAATGCTGTTTTCCTCGAAGTGAACGCCACATCCTCTGGTGCCAATAATCATAAACGAGGACATGGCCACAGGCGAAGGCAGTGGAATGGGAAGGGCAATAATCATGATGTCCAGTTTCACAAACACGTTCCAAGGCATAATTCAATCTCAAGCTTCAAAAATGTAAATCGCCACAAAGGTAAAGCTCATATGAATAATATTCCCAGCAACTCTGAAAGAGCCTGCCATAGATGTGGTGGCAATGAACATTGGGCGTATAGTTGTCATACCCAAAATATTTGATGGATCTATATCTAGCATCTATTAAGGAGAAGGGTGTTGAGACAAATTTTCTAGACCAGGCTAAACCAATGGATATATCTGATCCAGTGTATGACTTCCCACCTAGATATCTCAGACTTTATTGTGGAAATGGGGAATGAAGTGTACCGGTTCGACTGAATCATTTATATTTGATAAAGCATGGATAAGCACTATAGTCATTCTCAAAACAATAGCAATGACAGAGATATTTGTCTTGCAGACAGTGTAACCACGCATACAATACTTCAAGATCGAAAGTATTTCTCAAGATTGGGAAAGCCCAGATTATGTTACTAAATGGAACAATATTGTCCATACAGAATGCGTTGTACGCTACTCGATCTACTCGAAATTTGTTGAGTTTCAAAGACATACATTTAAATGGATGCCACATTGAAACGAAAAGTGCAGAAAATGTGGAGTATCTATGCATTACCTCCAATGATATCCAGAAGCATATATTGGAGAATTTACGTGGTTTGATGAGTGGATTATATTATATATACATAAAGACAACTGAATCACATACTGTCATAAACCAAAAGTTTATTGATTCAAAAGTTACATGCTTTGGTATGACCGTCTGGGTCACCCAGAATCTACCATGATGCATAGAATCATTACCAACTCTAATGAACATCCATTATTGAGTAAACACATTGCTATCTCAAATGATAACCCTTGCAAGGCTTTTTCTCAAGGGAAGTTGGTAATTAGACCATCACAACTAAATGTTGATGTTGAATCCCCATCATTTCTGCAAAGAATTTAAGGAGATATTTGTGGGCCTATTCAACCATCATGTGGACTATTTCGATATTTGATGGTTTTGGTTGATGTATCTACCCGATGGTCATACGTTTGTCTCTTGTTTACTCAGAATATAACTTTTATTAGACTTCTTGCTCAGATAATTAAGTTCCAAGCACAGTTCCTAAATTACCCCATTAAGTCAATCCGACTTGATAGCGCTGGTAAATTTACGTCTCAAACTTTTGATGATTACTGCATGACATTGGGCATTAATGTTGAACACCATGTTCCTCATGTCCATACTCAAAATGGTTTAGTAGAAGCATTGATCAAGAGGCTTCAGTTAATAGCTCGTACTCTGCTCATGAAAACAAAATTGTCAGTTTCTGCATGAGGAAATACGACATGCTGCATCATTGGTTCGATTGAGACCTATAGCCAACCATCAATACTCCTTAATACAACTCATGTTTGGATATCAGCCAAACATTTTACATTTACGAGTTTTTGGTTATACTGTTTATGTACCTATTGCACCACCACAACGCATTAAGATGGGATCTCAGTGCAAACTGGGAATTTATGTGGGTTTTGATTCACCATCTATCATTAGATATTTAGAACTCTTGACAGGTGATATGTATACAACTCGTTTTGCTGATTGTCACTTTGATAAGACAGTCTTCTCATCGTTATGGGGAGAAAATACCGTTCTTGAAGAACGGTAAGAGCTGACATGGGTTGTTCCCATCTTATCTCATTTTGATCCACGTAGCACTCAATGTGAAAGTGAAGTGAAAATGATCATTCATCTTCAAAGTATTGCCAATCAAATGCCAGATGCATTTAATGATGCTATGAAAGTGACAAAATCACATATACCAGCTGCAAATGCACTTGCAAGAATTAATGTCCCTGTTGGACAAAATAAACTGGCAGCAAATGGTTCATCTGATGCACGCCTGAAGCGTGGTAGACCTTCATGTTCAAAAGATTCAGTCTCTTGAAAGAGAAAGACAAAGACACAATTGAATCCAAATGAAATCATTCAAGAAAGAAAAATGAATGACAAATCTACAATTCATGATTTTGTACTTTTAGAAAAAGAAAATGTCCTTGGTGAGACACATGTACCTGAAGAAATAGAGGTACATGAAAGCAAATAAATCTCCATAAATTATACTTGTACTAATGAATTGTGGGATCAGAATGAAATAATCATCGACGACATGTTTGCATTTGCAGTAACCACCGAAATCATTTTAAGTGAGGATATTGAGCCCTGCTCTGTCAATGAATGCAAACAGAGACGAAATTAGCCTAAGTAGAAAGACGCAATCCAGATAGAATTAAATTCCTTAGAAAGGTGAAATGTTTTTGGACCAGTAGTCCAAACCCTACCTGGTATTAGCCACATGAGTTATAAATGGGTATTCATAAGAAAGCGAAATGAGAAAAACGAGATTGCAAGATATAAAGCACAACTCGTTGCACAAGGTTTTTCGCAAAGACCTGAAATTGATTATGAGGATACATACTCTTCTGTAATGGACGCAATTACGTTCCGTTAATTATTAAGTTTAGTGGTTTCAGAAAAACTTGACATGCGACTTATAGATGTCATCACCGCGTATCTATATGAATAAATCACGGACAAGCCATATGTAAGGAAACTCGCACGTGTGGTTCTGGCCGGGCTTTCCTGAGGTATCTAATAACCTTGCTTCTGCTCGACGCTGACGCACCTTTCCTAACTATTGCCCATTTATTCTGGAATAATCTTTTTAGAATTAGATACTGACATACATATATATATGTGTGTGTATATATATATATATATATATATGAAAGTCACAAAAGGACTTAAGTTACTTAAAATAACTAAAAAATCACGAGATATGCTCTCAATCAAATTAAGACTATCATTGTATGGGCTGAAACAGTTTGGACCAATGTGGTATAATCGTCTCAGTGAGTATTTGATCAAAGAAGGGTATATCAACAATGTCATTTGCCCTTGTGTGTTCATTAAGAAATCCAACTATGGATTTGCTATAGTGGCAGTATATATTGATGATATGAACCTAGTTGGAACTCCTGAAAAGCTCAATAAAACTGCTGAATATCCGAAAAATGAATTTGAAATGAAAAACCTTGGAAAAATAAAATATTGTCTCGGCATGCAGATCGAGCATTGTGCTAGTGGAATTTTGGTCCAGCAATCAACTTACATTAAAAAAATCCTGAAGTGATTTAGCATAGACAAGGCTTATCTATTCAGCACGCCAATGGTTATTCGTTCTTTGGACATTAAGAAAGATTCATTCCGTCCAAAAGAAGATGATGAAGTGGTCCTTGGTCTAGAAGTACCATATCTGAGTGCAATAGGTGCTTTATTATATTTAGCACAATGTACTAGATCATATATAGCTTTTTCAGTCAACTTGTTAGTAAGGTATAGTTCTGCTCCAACAATTCGTCATTGGAAGGGAATCAAAGATGTATTGTGATACATTCGTGGGATAACAAACATGGGTCTCTTCTACTCAAAGAAATCCGCAGATGACCAGGTCCTTGTTAGATATGCAGATGCTGATTTTCTCTTTGATCCGCATAAAACCTGCTCACAAACTGGATATATGTTCAAGAATGGAGATACAGTAATCTTATGGCACTTAACAAAGCAAACATTAATTGCTACATCTTTAAATTACTCAGAAATACTTGCTTTACATTAAGCAAGTCATGAATGTTCTTAGTTAAGATCAATGATCCATCATATCCAGAATTCAAGTTGTCTAACTTCAAAGACAGACATCCCAACTGTCATCCATGAAGATAATGCAACCTGTATTGCCCAAATGAAGGAAAGATTTATCAAGGGCGATAAGAATAAACACATATCTCCAAAAAATTTCAGTGCACATGAGCTTCAGAAGGCAAAAGTTATTGAAGTCAGACAAATCCGTTCTAATGAAAATCTGGCAGACTTGTTCACCAAGTCTCTACCAAAGTGTACGTTTCAGAAGTTAGTGCAAAGTATCGGATTATGTCGACTTATCAATTAACTAAATTTGGAAAATGCTGAATCAGGAGGAGATACATATGAGAGGGAACACCCATGATAAATGCATGTTATACTTTTTCTCTTTCAATTAGAATTTTTCCCACTAGGTTTTCCTATCAAGGCAACATAAGCATATTTAACACTATATCAACAATTCAAGTAAAGTTGTACTCTTTTTCTTTCACTATGATATTTTCCTACTGGGTTTTAACGAGGCAACTGATGTTGACATGTGAGCATCCAAGGAGGAGTGTTGAAAATACTGGTGGGTTAATGAATGCCACAGTGATATTGAAAACATTGATAGATTTTTCAATGCCCCACACAAAGTGATATTGACTTGGGAAATGAAGGAGGATCGTATTATCAAAAGGTGTGTGCTGTAAATTTCAATGTATAGTTAGTACATTTATTTGGAGTTACTCTATAAATAGAGTGTTCTGTATACTTTCAAGATACATAGAGAACAAAGAAAGATCAATAACATCATTATCTATCCCTCCATCTTTTATTTATCGTCCTCTTGTGTTTTAGTTACAATGTAATATTTTACACCTGCTTTACTTATGTCACTAGTAAATGCTATCTCTTTTACTTTTCTCTATTTATAACAAAAATTATATTTTAATTAAATTGTTTCCATCCAAAACGCAAGTGCATACCGAACTTTTCCTTATCCAGATTGTGTAAAGAAACAGAGTATAAATAATGGAACACCAAAACCGACCGCATAAACAAATCAGGCATAAACCCCAGGGAGAGGAGACGATCAATCTTCCAAAGTTCCCCAAAGCCCCTAAACGACAGGTCGTTCACTTCTAAATCTGCCCCCTTGCTCTCTCTCGCTCTCTCGTCACTTTCTCACTCGTCGCCAACTCTTCCTTTGCAGAGCTTCTCTTCTCTACCAGGTCAGTATCTACCCATCGCAGGTATTATGTGTATATATATGTCTGCAAGTCTCTTTCTTTCTTTTGATCTGTTAGATTTTCTAGGCAATCCAATCAGGTGCTTAAAGTGTTCAACTTTTTTCTGCCGTACCCCCCAATTTTTGATATTTTATTATTTGTACCACTTGGGTTTTGGCATCTGATTGGTTGTTTATGTTTGTAAACTATTGGGGTTTATTGGGTTTTAGTTTTTCAGAAAGATTTGAGTTTTGTTTCCCTCTAGAAATTTATGATACTTGTTTATGTTGATTTTGATAGAGAACAGAACTTAATTCGAAAAAGGGTATTAATTAAAGGGACTAATTTGTAAGTGTTTGATCACTTTTGGGTTATTATTTTATAGGAGATTGTAATTTGTTAGAGATCATATTATCTTTTGATTCAGGGTTTTGAGTATTACCATTAACCCGAAAGGGTCCAGAAAGAAAAAATAATTCAGCAAAAACAAGGCAACAAAAATAATTAAAGGACCAGTCTCCAGTGAATAGCAATTAGCAATTCTTATAGTTTCTTGATGATGTTTTCCTTGCTTGGTGTGTACTACATTTGATGTTCTTTTGATTATTATCGACATTATGTAGTATATCGATTCGCCTGGCATATCTTGTATGTTCTATGCCATTGTTTTCCCATGTCACAGATTTGGGCCCTTTGGGGGTAATTGTGCTTTGTTTTCTCTTATTCAGGAGATATGATTAGGCTATTCAAAGAAAAGGAAAAGCTGAGAGCACAAAACGCCAATGGAGCCTCGCCGGTTACGAAGCAATCTGCTGGGAAGTTGCGTCTTACTAAAGGTTTTCCTTCTATTTAATGATTGAATGTTTTAATATTGTGACTGAAACTTTCACATTTTTGTCACTCTTCTCCAAAAAGAGTTTGGTGATTGTTAAGCAGTATGGATCAATTTTGTAAGATGGTTTTCAGTACCATTGATGGTTTACTTGTTTATATTTTGGGTTAGGGAGGAGTTTGAGTTTGTCCTGGACTGAAATTCAACTTTTAAGCCATGGTGCTTATGAGTGGTTTTTGAATGGTGAAATAAAACATCCTTCTTTGTCCTTGGTTCTGCTATAATAATTACCTAGAGGTGTTCGGGCTGGTGGAGTTTTAAGTCAAATTAAAACATTACAGTTTTTAGCAAATGGATTAACACCATGACTGCTTAGCATGTCATCTTTTCTCAAATCAGGTTGATATACGAAATTGAGATGATTTTTTTTCGGATTACAAAGTCTAGCATTCTTGATTGAACTTTACATGTCATTATTTAAATCAGTTATAATTTGGTTGAGGATACAGGTTTTAAACTGGTTCTCATTCTGAATTACGTTTACTCTTTTTTTTTTTTTTTGGACTATGCGTGGAGTTGTGTTGTTTCTCTAGATCTATGCATCCGTTTAATTAAAAAAAAAATGATTTCTTGGGGCTTCTGATGCAGATATGTCTGAGCTGAATTTACCAAAATCCTGTAGCATTCATTATCCTCATGGCAAGGATGAGCTGATGAACTTTGAGGTTACAATTCGTCCGGATGAAGGATATTACAAGTAAGGAATTCTACTGATAGTGTACAAAATTTTGACGAAACTTATTATTTTAGACACCTTTCAATTGTAAGAGAAGCTGGTTTCTTCTTTCGTTTCCACTTACACAAACACTTTGTCACACAAATATGTCTTATGAATATACGTGTGCATGAATTTACAACTGTAAGACACTGGACAATGTGAGTGCTTGCAACCATTGTTTTAGTCAACTACACAACGAATTCAACATGACCACAAGAAGTAATGGTGTTGAAGGATTCATATTGCTGTTCCTCTGGAGAACAAATATATGTGTTGTTTCTAATGTCTTGTAAATTAGCATAACCATCAGTTTTCTACATTATCTGTCCATTTGCCATTACAGAGGCGGTGTGTTTATGTTTACATTCCAAGTTGCCACTATCTATCCACATGAGGCACCAAAAGTCAAGTGTAAGACCAAGGTAAAGCTGCCAAGAAAATATTTTTCACTTAGTTTTGTTTAACTTCATCTCTTCCCTATGATCGCTTATATGAAACATTCTCTTGTACGTACTCCAACCCCTCACAGGTCTACCATCCGAATATTGACTTGGAAGGAAATGTCTGCCTCAACATCCTACGAGAAGATTGGAAACCTGTCCTCAATATAAACACTGTCATTTATGGATTATATCACCTCTTCACGGTACTAATGACTCTCTTGAATCTTGATAGTCCTCCACTCCTGTGATTTGTTTCCATCTGGTATTTGAATGTCGCTTATTTTTGTCTTTGAATTTTGTTTGCAGGAACCAAATTATGAAGATCCACTAAATCATGATGCAGCTGCAGTGTTAAGAGACAACCCGAAGATGTTTGAAGCTAATGTAAGAAGGGCTATGGCCGGTGGGTATGTGGGGCAAACCTTATTCCCCCGGTGCACATAGCTTTCGTTTGGTAGCACCAAGGAGTGCCAATTGACATATTATGCTCGGAACGGAAATGTGGTTGTAATATTTGTTGCAGATTGCGGTTTCTTTTTCAATCAATTTAGTTGGAGGCTTAAAAATGTATGTCACTGTAACTTTTTGGAATGCTTTGTAGTCTCTTGACTTGCCCAAATGTTATCTTGTTATCTCTCTCTCTCTCTCTCTCTCTCACACACACACACACACACACACACTCACACACTCTCTCTCTCTCTCTCACACACACACACACTCTCTCTCTCTCTCTCTCACACACACACACACACACACACTCTCTCTCTCTCTCTCTCTCTCTCTCTCTCTCTCTCTCTCAATACCATCAAACTGATCATGTCATGTGACCGTACATTGTACTGTAAGCACATGTTGTACGCACGATTTCTCCGCTCCCGGCCCTGTACAGTTGTAGTTTGCTGTATCCGTGCTCGTGTGATATATTGCAGTGAATTGATCATACAATACTGCATTTGGGGAAACGCTGGATGACAGGATTTCAATGGTCATATGCGATTTCAGATGGCAGTTTTGAAGCATGTAAAGTTTTATTATTTCCTAATCAGCCTTGTAAATGTGCCAATCTCAGAACAATTCACGGCATGCTATCAACTCCATTATGCTAAATCAATCACAAAATCTAGTGTGCAAATGGAAATTTGCTCTCGAAAATCTGTTGGTGTCGAAGTAAAAGTGTATCGCTTTACGAAGCGGCTTCTCAAACTGGTCAGTATTGCAGCTGAAAGCTTGGAAGATGCTAAAATGGTAGTCTCATGTGCTTGATTGCTTCTTCAAACTATAGAATGACTTCTCACGTCATCTCTTCCTCTTTGACACTGGCGATTCTGGCATTTTCGCGGTCCTTTCTGAAAAACTGATACAAAGGCGTGTACAGCAAGCTACACAAACCAAACGGAACTGCCATCATCGAAAGAAGACCTTGTGATAATGCCAAGGCCTCCCGAGTAGACCCTTTAGTCGGATCCACTGATTTTGCATCGTAACCAAACATCTTCTCTGAAAGGATTCCAACGAAGGGAGCTGCAAAAGAAGAGAGTGATCCTTCGAAAGCTCGATCAAAGGCGTAGATCATGGTCCGGTGTTTGACAGGGACAACCTCAGCAAACATAGGACCATTTGCAGCAGTAGCATTCCAGCTGATAGTCAGGCCCATCAGCAAGAGGGTGACCGCGAAGGTGTAAAAGCTGTCTACTGACTGTGGGATGACTTTGAGTAAGAACCAGGAAAAGGGGATGCCCATGAAGGCGCTGAACTGCGCACACATGATACGGCCTGAGTGAGGATAGATCCGTGACATTCGATCTGCTATTAGTCCACCAAGAAGAGACCCCATAGCACATCCAACAGCAAAAAGACTGAGCAAGGCTGCCGTACTGCTGTGATCAAAGCCTACCAGAATGATTAAAAGACGTCATATGACTTGAAGGTAGAAGTTAAAGGTTAGTAGCTCAGCAAGGACAGGAGAGGTAGAAAGAGAACCAACAGTGGTTCCATTGACATGCAGAGTATGTATTACGCTACAGAATAAAAAATATATATGCATAGAAATTTACGAATCAGTGAGAAATGAGAAGGATTTCAAACTAAAAACCTCATGGATCTAGGCCTTTGATTTCCATGCTAGAAAATTATTGCACTCGAATTGCTCGAGTAGTTAGAAATGAGAAACAAATCAATGTCTAACAAGCTAACAGTAGCATACCAATTCTACTTTTGAAGTATCGTGAGCATAATCTAAACAGGAAAAGAATTTTCAGTAGCTCATACCGATTAATTGGAACCACATTGTGAAGAACACCATGGCAGTCCAGGGTAGTGAGCCAACAACGCCCTGCAAAACAATTATTTGAAACGTTCGCACTTTAACAACTGCCTTCATGGCTGTCCAAGACTCCAGCCAAACTGATGCTGCACTTGTAGGTCCCTTAATTATCAAATCTTCCCTGCAACATAAAGGAACCAAGTCATCACAAATGATAGATGCTGAGAACACATTCAATGAACTCTTTCTTCTTTCACAATCACCAGAGCTACAATTTGTTCAGGGACTTGGAAACTGAAATAATCAAGAAATTAGGTGCAGAAGTGATAAAATGATCGTCTCGTACCTCTCAAAAGTCGGGTCAGTAACTATTTTTCTCGGGTCAACCACAAACGCGAAAACAAGGAACCCAATTAGAGAACTAAGTGATGCCATGAGAATGAAAGCACAGCGCCATCCCGGTATATTCCAGTACTGTTCACCAGCCATGAGTGTAGCCAGAACACCACCCCCAATTCCACCCAAGGAACCGACAAGGCTTACCATCCCAAATCCAGCTCCCCTCACACCATCCTTATAACTATCAGCAATAAACGACTGAAGTGCCGGTATAACAATTGCCAATCCGAAGCCATTCACTGCCCTCCAGAATGCAACTTGTGAAAAAAAACGACTTGCACCCACTGCGGCTGTTGACAAAGCCCAGCAAAAAGTGCCCATTGCAAGAACCGCAGGGCGGTCATAGTTAATAACTAGTACACCTGCAAGGGGTGATGCCATTCCCTGTATAAAGTTCCTAATGAATGTCAGATAGCCAAGGTCAGACGGCCCGGCATTGAAAGCCTCACTGACTTCTTTGTAAACAGATGGGAGTAGATTTTCGTCAGCGCGCTCCATTATAGCAGCCAAATTGATCAGAATGAGAGACAGCGAAATCCCAAAAACCTTTCTTGTCCTGTGAAAAGTATACGTATTAAACGATATAGATACACACTCAACCACTCAATGCAATGTGAAACTACTCCACAGAAATCAGCTACATCAAGAGCATAATTCCTGAGTACATTTTCATCAGGAACACACACAGGCATACTCGCACAGATATTAAAACAAGGGCCACTGCAATCTTGTGTCATACATACAGAAATTGTATTCACTCCAAAATTCAAGGTGGATCAGAAATACAAAGGCCGATTTTCTAAAACGTACAAATTTAAGGCCGTTTGATAACCATTTCGTATTTAGATTTCATTTTTCGGGTTTGTGCTAGATATAAGAGGGAAAATACATGGGGAAAAAGACGGACGAAGAAGGGTGGAAGGTATGTGGTTGACGCACACAACAAAAAGTAGAACGTGAAAGCAACTTAAAATTGTTTTCACGTCCCTCCCACCTTTATTCCTCCCTAATTCTTCATCTCTCCTTTCTCCCACGTATTTCTTCTCTCTAACGAAAAATAAAAACTAAAAACGAAATTGTTATTAGCCGAGCTCTTGTCAAAACTATATTGTGTTGAAAACCACATCAATAATTTACATTTGGACATGAAACTCTGGACAAACGGTAATTTGAGAAATTAAAAAAATCGAACCAGACAATTATTGACTAAAAAAAACACACACATATATGCTTCATAATCCACGAATCCCAGAAAAAAAGAAAACAACTTTGGAAACAATCAAGGGACAGCAACAACGTGGGAAGAATCAAACTCACCTCATGGCTTCCAAACTTCTGAAAAAGTCAGGTTTCGACCGAGACGAAGTATGAGATGATGGAAATCTGATTAATCCCCAATTAAGGCCCTTAAACAAAATTAATTAAGAACCCACGAGTGCAAACTCCAAAGAAACCGGAAGGACAAGCCCTCTGCATCTATGGAAGATCTGAGACGAAGCACCCCAACTTTCCTTAAACAAACTGACCTCCGACGGGCTCATCAACAAATTTCTAAACGGATATTCAAAGACTATGTCTAACATAGGAATCTAGTAAATATACGTTTTTGCAATAATTACGATCGGATTTATTGATTTGATTACAGTTCTTTACGGTCGTTTTCAAAAAGAGCTCGGCTCCTCTGATCACTCGTTGGATGTATTTTTAAAATATCTAAAAATATTTTTAGAAAAAGTAATTTTATGTTTTAAAAGTATTTTAAATGCTTTTTACAAGAAGTATAGTGCTTCTTCAAAAAGCACTTTTAAGTAATTTTTTAAAATTTATTAATATTTTTAATAAGAATTGATTACAAAAATATTTCCATAAAAAAGTTTTCAATTATTTTAAAAACAATCCAAATGAATTTTAAGTTTTCGTTGATGGCGTCGTTGACTTTAAAGTATCAAAGTACAGGGCAATGGGCAAACGTGGGTTGGGTTCGATTTCGACCGTTGGATACCATGGTTCATGACTGACGTTGAAGAATTTGTCCAAATCGGCTGCGTCTCATATGTTACGCCTCATATCTTGGTTGCTTTAGGCCGTCCACGTGTTTAGGTAATGATGATGTCTAGACACAAGAATTTGACATTAGAACTTTGATTTGGATTAGTGTGAGTTTGATAAGTCTGTTATAATTAATTTAATAGTGTGATTGTGTAAATTTTAAGTACAATTCTATGAATATCTATCTAACGTTGTTTAGGCTCTCGCCCAAGCGCTAGACCGTTGGTTATCGACTTACCACCCCAATTAATCACTAGGCGTTTGAAAATTAAGAAATTGTGTCTTCACCTGCTTAGGTGTCTACATAGTCCGCTTAGGTCTAAACCTGCCTAGGCACTCTCAGAGGTCGCGACTCCCACTTAGACAGAAAATTGATAACTTCCGTTTTTCTTTTTATTTTTTTCAATAAAATGTAAGAGACTTGTAAAATACTTGGATGAACACTCATTATATACTTGTTCCCCATGTTTTCAATGTTCTAATATTTTATAATCTTTCATTTTATTTAGTAATTTATGTATTTCAATTCAATTATATATATATATATATATAAGTATAAATAGGCACCTACTTATACGATATATAATAAATTTGCTTAAATCTACCTTGTCTGCCTAGGTGCCCGCCTAACTACTTAAGCGCTAGGTTCCAGGACCCCCCCCCCTCAGCCCACCGCCCAACTCTGTTTTACTTGGAGAGCCTCTTCTCATTATTACTATTAATAAAGACACTAGACATGAGGAATCATAACACAGAATTCCCCAAACCTTTCCTCCATCTTCTCGCTGCCGCACCCTCTCTTTCTCTTTAAATTTAGATCACAACACATTATCAGCCATCTCTTCACAATTCCAGACCCTATTGACCCGGCTGATTTTGGAGGCATCCGATTACTTATTTCTTAAGCAAAAGGCAGCCAAATCCAGT